CCTAAACCAACCCCTAAACCCTAAAAGTCCTTTCTGGCTCACCACCTCGAAGTAGCTTGTCCTGCACCTCTCTGCCGGAGGAATTTCAGGAACACGATTTGCTCGGCGGCTCCGGCGAGGAGGGTTGGGACCAGGGTTGTCATTATTGCTGCTGGGTTGGCCTTTGGGATACTTACATATTTTCCCTACTTGGTTTCATAAGGACCCTATATACTAATATTTTTCAAAGGGTTCCAAAGGCCAACCAAGACTGTGATTTTCATTCTGATTATTATAAACACGAAGCCCTAAGTTGTGATTGTTACTGTTACTATTGTTATGGCTTAATTGCGAAGTATTCTATTACTCTTGCAGGTTGAGGGTTTGATATTTTAGGTTTTGGAATGAAGGAATTTCTCAAAGCGATCGCTACATGGAGAACCCCCCTCCATAATCCCCTTAAAGCCCCCACCCTAAACTCGAACTCCTAAACCTAAGCCCTAATCCCACACTCTTCTCAAAACCCCTTTCGTGGCGGTCTACTATATCTGGGCTCTGCTGTTCGCGTTCACCGGTACTTACGGGTTTCCCAAAAATAGGGATAGTTTTCAAGAGTTCTATTCAGCGGCTATATAGGGGTATTCGGGGTCTTGGGTCCAAACTATAGTGTTTCTCAGATTAGGGGTGCCGTGATTGGTGGCCCCATAATAAAGATTATAGTATATTGGGGTCTTAAGATGCAAGATACTGTAGCATTTGCAGGTTCAAGATATGGCAAGCATCCACGCGGGTTGAGTTACATCATTGCCAACAACCTAGACCCCACAAGTACCTTGCGTAGAACCCAAATACCCACCAATGGGACCTATATTTACATAAAGCCCACTTAAGCGTAGCTGGAGGGGTCCTTAGTTGGAGGGTCAGGGGACGTAGTAAGTAGGTGAATAATGGGGTTAACTAGGGTTACTACATGGGTTATAGGGGTTATTAACCTACTTACTAAGGTCCCCAGACCCTCCAAGTAATGTTTCATAGTGATCTAAACCCTAGACCGTAGACCCTAAAGCCCTAAAACCCAAAACCCTACACCCTAAACCCTAAAACCCTAAAACCCTAACCCTACACCCTAAACCCTAAAACCCTAAAAACCCTAAACCCCAAAATGACCTATGTTTTTTTGTTTGAATGTGCTCAGAGCCAACCTTGCACTCAAAACCGCACATCCAGGAGCTCCACA